TTAAAAATACAATCTTAAAAATAAACCCTAATCATGAGCTAAAGAATATTTCTCCTAGTTTAACACGTTCTTAGAAGTTTCTAAAAAAAATAATTTTTAGAAGGATTCATATATAGGATGCACAATTATTCATGTGTTTTTTCCTAACATCTGTAAATCTTTCTGTGTATATGTGTATGCATACATGTGCATGTAAGTGTATACATGTGTGCATGTTTGGGGGTCAGTAATGCCTTACTTAGTAATAATAGTGAAACTGGTATAATGCAATAATTTATCAAGTCTCCAGTGCTCTAGGGAAAAGAGTAATGGAGAGTGCAGAAATCATACAGGGTGTATGAGTGTGTATATGAGTTTACTGCCTAATGGCTTAAGTATTTATTTTGTAAAGTAGTGTTGTGGTATTTGTCATTAGTGCAAATTACATAGAAAATTGTAATAGGCTATAGACAGAAGATTAATATTTTCTGAAAACCTCATACAAATTGACAGTTTTAAGGCTCTAGCAAATAAATATACAAATGATATGCAACTGATGAAAGGAGAAATACCACTGTTAACAGTGGAAAAATGGTCACACTCTGTCATCAAATAAATGCAAATTAAAGCCACAATGAGGTTCGTCATTCACATCAGTAGGAATATTTTTTCATTATCCAAAGGTAGGGTAGAAGCTAAAACTAGTATAGTTGGTGGCATTAAACCCTGATACATTCTTACCTCCTTTAGAAAACAACTTAGCACTATATACTGAACCATGAAAACTAACTTTTTGATCTAGAAGTTAATAAATAATTATTTAAAAAAAACTATATATGTGAAGATTTTTCTCACAATATATTAAGAGTAGAACTTTGCAAGCCCCTAAATCCCTGACAATAGGGGATTGGCTAAGTAAAGTATAGGAATAACACTTGATGGGCCATTACTAACCAGTACCAGTTGCCACTGAGTTAATTCTGACTCATGGTTACCCTGTGTGTTTCAGAGTAGAACTGTGTTCCATAGGGTTTTTAGTGGCTGTGATGTTTCGGAAGTAGTTCGCCAGGCCTCTGGGTAGATTTGAGCTGCCAACCTTTCGGTTAGTAGCCGAGCACTTAACTGTGCCACCCAGAGACTCTGGTGGCCCATTATGTATCCATTAAACAATACATGTGCCAAAGAGGGGTGGGAATCACTTGTCAGTAATGACATAGGATATAAAATGTATACTAATAAAAGGTTTTTTTTTTTTTTTTTAAATGCATAAGAAAAGCAACTAAAAATAATGGTTGTGAGTTTTTGAGTAGTTTTTAAACAAAGTATTATTTTGATTCTCAGAAATTTCTGTTCATGATAAGATATTTGTTAAAGGAATGAGCAAGTGACTTTTACCTATCCCAACTTTTAGTGGGACATCAGTAAAAACCAAACCCCATTGCTGTCGAGTCAGTGGGACCCTATAGGACAGAGTAGAACTGCCCCACAGGGTTTCCAAGGCTGTAAATCTTTATGGAAGCTGACTGCCACATCTTTCTCCCAAGGAGTGGCTGGTGGGTTTGAACTGCCGACCTTTCAGTTAGCAGCCAAGCACTTAACCACTGTGCCACCAGGGCTCCTTTGTGACATCAGTACTGCTGTATTGATCGGTCTCATTCAGTTGCAAGTTAAAGAAAATCTGTCTCAAAATAGCTTAAATTAGAACCAAAAAAAAAACCTGACTTTTATAGCCAGGGAGTTCACAGCAAATTAGGCCTACTTAACCCAGGAATTCAGTCATCTCAGAACCTACCTCACTTCTGCTCTTCTCATTTGGCCTCTCCTGAAAAGGCTTTCCTCTCGTAATGGCAAGGGGAGCCACCAGCAGCTCTAGGGTAATTTCTTTATAGCCAGTGATCCCAGAGTACAGGTCATTCCAGGGAGAGCTGTGATTGGTCATCTTGGGGCCATGTGCCCACCCTAGACCCTTGGGGTGGAGAGAGGAAGTGCCAGCTTTTTTCTTATCACTTGGGCTAATTTTGGTTTTTCTGCATGTTGTCATTTCCTTTATCCCAGCATTCTTGATTTTTGTATTTAGTTCCACAGTAGCACATCTTGGTGTGTTTTTGTTCTTGTTTTTTAAGCCTGCTCCTTTTTGATTCTGGTTCTTACTTTTCCTGGACTTCCATTGAAAAATTTTTAATTAAATTTTATCATGCCATAGGCATTGATACATAATATAGCTACTTCTACAGACTTTTTTGATGCTCAATTTTTCGGTTCAAATGTAGTATATTTGCTTTCTTTTTGGTAGGTGATAGTCATGAATCCTTTCAGAAGCCTTAGGTTAGAGAGAGAACTGTGAAAGTTTCTGCCTATCACTTTATGCACAACTGAATTAATTAATTTTTCTAAATAGCTAGCATTGTCTGAACTTCGAAAATAATTTTCATATGAGTCTTTTGTATGAAAATAGTGAACAATAGAAGAGTTCCTTCAAAAGCAGTTTAATAAACTCCAAATTTAGTGCAGAAATTTCCATAAAGAACAAAGTAGCTGGTTTAGGTATGTAAGTTTCTAGTGATCTGGCAGTACCATTAACATGGATGGTTCAGATTCCTGTTGAACCAGGAAGTTCCAAATTATATTCCATGAAAGATTTTAACTTGTTTTAACTGGGGCAGAAATAAAAAGGATTCTAGATAAGTAAATATGTGAAATTCTGAGTTTGTATTTGCTACTAGACTGATTAGCTCTTAATATATCAGTGTGTAGGTGATTCTGTAAGAACCAGGGATATAGTGTTGTTGTTGTTAGGTGCCATCAAGTTGGTTTCAACTCAGAGCAATCCTGTGTACAACAGAATGAAACACTACCCACTCCTGTGCCATCCTCACAATCTTTGCTATGCTTGAGCCCATTGTTATAGCCACTGTGTCAATCCATCTTATTAAGGGTGTTCCTCTTTTTCGCTGACCTTCCACTTTACCAAGCATGATGTGCTTCTCCATCAACTGATCCCTCCCAATAACAGGTCCAAAGTACTTGAGACGAAGTCTTGCCATCCTTGCTTCTAAGGAGCACTCTGGCTGTACTTCCAAGACATATTTGTTCGTTCTTCTGGCAGTCCATGGTATATTCAGTATTCTTTGCCAACACCGTAATTCAAAGACGTCAGTTCTTCTTCAGTCTTAATCATTGTTCAGCTTTCGCATGCATATGAGGTGATTGAAAATGCTATGGTTTGGGTCAGGTGCACATTAGTCCTCAAAGTGACATCCTTGCTTTTCAACACTTTAAAGAAGCCTTTTGTGGCCGATTTGCCCAATGCAATGTGTCTTTTGATTTCTTGACTTCTGCTTCCATGGACATTGATTGTGGATCCAAGTAAGATGAAATCTTTGACAAGTTCAGTCTTTTCTCCGTTTATCATGATGTTGCTTATTGGTCCAGTTGTGAGGATTTTTGTTTATGTTTAGGTGCAATCCATACTGAAGACTGTAGTCTTTGATCTTCATCAGTAAGTGCTTCAAGTCTTCATCACTTTCAGCAAGCAAGGTTGTGTTATCTGCATATCACAGGTTGTTAATGAGTCTTCTTCCAATTCTGATGTCATATAGTCCAGTTTCTTGGATTATTTGCTCAGCATACAGATTGAATAAGTATGGTGAAAGAATACAACCCTGACGCACACCTTTCCTACTTTAAACCACACAGTATCCCCTTGTTCTGTTCAAATGACTGCCTCTTGGTCTATGTACAGGTTCCTCATGAGAACGGTTAGGTGTTCCGGAATTCCCATTCTTAGCAGTGTTATCCATAATTTGTTATGATCCACAGAGTCAAATGCCTTTGCATAGTCAATAAAACACATGTAAACATCTTTCTGGTAAAGTTGGTTTCATAAAAATTCAAAAACCTATTTTGTATTCTTGCTTAAATGGGAGACTGTCCCTCCTTGGTGCAAGGTGGACTGCAGGTAGACCTACCGTTACGTAGGTAGGGCCAAAATTTTTTACAAGCAGCTCTGTGATCTGCTCAAAAAAAGTGCTCTTATTGAAATCTCGAACATTCAGGATGCAAGGAAGAGGTAAGCCTTGAAAATTGAAAGCAAAAGTTACAGATCACTTTCTACCATGGAAATGTTCATGTGGAATAGAACAGTGAAGTTTTATCCAGTCCTGTTAAACTGCCTGATAATTGTTGTTAGCTGCTGCTGAGTTGGCCCCTGACTCATGGCAACCCCACTGCACAGTTGGATCGGACTGTAGTGATCCAGAGTTTTCACTGACTACTTTTTTGGAAGTAGGTTGCCAGTCTTTTCTTATTAGTCTTTGTCTTAGCTTAAAAGCACCGCTGAAACCTGTTCAGCATCATGGTAACATGTATACCTCCACTGATAGATGGGTGATGGCTGTGCTTGAGGTGCACTGGCCGGGAATTGAACCTGGGTCTGCTGCATGAAGGAGAGAATTCTTCTACTGAACCACCACTGTCCCTCCCATGATGAATAGCCCCCTAAATAGACTCACAGCTAACTAAATGAGTTGTTGAATGAAGTTTGAATTAGTCATTTGAATGTCTAAAGAATGTTTGCCAGAAACAGCTCTTTTGGTTTTGGCATGTTTGATATTATTGAGCTGGTATCTGACATTAACTGGCCAACAGTATCACTTGCTTCTTGAGATTATCTCTGGAATATGCTAAAAATATCAGCATAGAGGGAGGTGATGGTGTTCTGTTTGATAAGAAGGAAGGAGGGCATGTATATGGTTCATCTGAAAGTTACATCAGATTACAGTATTAGGTGCAAGTTAAATGTCTAAGACATAGCCTGGTTTTATTCTACACATGGAGAAATTCTGTAATTTTGCAGTTTCCCAGTAGAATTTTTATATTATTGTCTTTATATCCTTCATAGTCATTACTAAAAACTTCTCCCAAGACCATTAAAAATTAAATTAAAATCGATGTGTAGCTATTCAAAATTTGTTATTTTTCTACTCAACTAAATTATCACACCTTTTTCTCTTCCTGTGTAGATTTAGCTTTTGAATCAAACCCTTCTGACCACCCAAGGGCAAGCACAATTTTCCTGAGCAAATCTCAGACGGATGGTAAGACAATGTTATTTTTTTTCCTGAGGGGAAAGGTTTGAAAACTCAGTTTTTATTTTGTGATATGTATTATAGAAAGTATTTATTTAGAAGATCTCATACCCTGGTTCAAATTTTTCACTTTTTCGTATATTTTAACATGATTTTATACTTTGCTTAAGTTGTTACTGCTTTAGTGAGGAGAACGCATAGACTTTCTGTTTACACATTTTGCCACACTTCTTTACGGACACAATTAATTGGCCACACGATTTAGAAGTGGTCATGGATTTATACTTATTTCTCCATACTCCCTAGTTCCAAGGAGCACACGTTTTAAAGATGAATGACTAAGACTTTAGGTTGCAGTTAGGTTTTCATTTGAACACATCAAAAAAATCAAATGGGGATTGAATCTATGGGGTTATATCTCATTTTATACATTAACCAGATGACCCTGTCTCACATCAACATTTATGCTACTCAGATTTTTAATTGTTCAAACTTTGTCGTCTTAATATAATGCTGTGCCAGCAGAGTGCTGTAGCATCCAGGGTGTGCATCAAACCAAAGACGCTCTATGGTGTTTACCAGAAGGTTGGCCTCACTATGTAGAACTAGTGTAAATTTCCTGTGTCATGCTTATTCAAGGATGAGAATCAGAGCTGCAGGATTTTCGGCACTCCTGCTTGCCTGCTTATTTTAATGTTAAATCCTAGTTTATTTGCTAAAGAGCCATTCATGACCAAGCTTTCCAGTTGATTACTTTATGAGAGCAGAATATGGGAAGTGAGGGCTCCCTATTAATACCTGAACTGCTGCAGCACAATAAAAAATGGGGTTTCTAACCTGGATTTTGATCGTGTATATGTACTTTGTTCTGAACCAATCATTTCTGATTAGGATTGTTGTATTTCTCAGTTTCTTATGGAGTCATGGGCTGCTCTCACGTTTAGAGAGTGTGGAAGCAGTATAGGAAAAGCTATCCCTTGCCCCTCTCTGAAGGAGTGCATGCCTACCATGCCTGCCTGGCATTAAAGGAGGCAGTTTGGGAAACCAGGTGTAGCCTAAGGCCGTCCTTGGGGCTTTTATTCCCCGTCTGGCCTTTGCTAGAACAGAAGGATTTTGTGCTGTAGACATCATGTTCAATTAGATTAGCACACTCATTTTAAAATTTAAGATAGGTTGAGTTACTTGCCAATTGTGTGAAGACCCATTTGTCTTTTTAGTAACATAATATTTTAGTAGATTACCGGTAAGTGGTTCAGGGTGCTTCCAGGGATTCTAATGCATCTAGAGATTAGTGCCTGGCCAAAAACTGGTTCTTAGAGCTGTCAGCTGTTAGATCCTGGTAATTAAAGTAAGCTGTGAGTAAACGTAGAATTAGAAAATTCTGCTGGTTAGTGGTTCTGATGTGCAACAGGTGAATTTTTCATTAGCTAATATCCCACCTAGCCTAATTTGTTTTGCCCTTTTATTTCCTACACTGAGATTCCTTCATTTGTACCTAATACAGAATATCTGTTAGGTTAAAAAATAAAGCTGAGTTTTTAGATTTCAGTTTATGGGTCTCATCTTGCCAGATAATTTAAATTATAAATTTTGTTGGAAATTCTTTTAAAAAAATAGAATGGAACTTGTATCTCATTTTTTTGTATATTGGTAATCTGTCAGATAATTAGCTACTATTATAAATTTTTATGGCATTTGTATCAGAATTGATCAGTTAATTTTTTTTATTCTTAGTGCGAGAAAAGAGGAAGAGCAACCATTTAAACCATGTAAGTAAACAGTTAAAAATTAAGTAAGAAATGAATAGTTTGAATTCAAAGTATGTCTGCTGTGATTCCTAATAAATAATTACGATCCGTATGGGACTCTCTATGTGGATTTTTTCTAAATCTCTATTTTCCTAAGTTCAAATTTATTCAGAAGTGTCTTTGGCTTAGTAGTGCCTATTTTTAACGAGTTTCTGACATTTAAGTTAAATTTCAATAACATAATTTTGGTATAAAGATCTGCCTTAAGTTTTTAATCTTTTTTAACCAGAGGAACAAAAGTATAATAGCTAAGTCAATTTTTAGCACTCGCTATTGACTTACTGTCATTGTAGATGTGAGCTTAACTTCTTCACTCCACCGTGACCTTAATTCTCTCCCTCCATTTGCTCAACATGTATCACATTTTTTGTTAAATCAGTAATCAGTGTGTGCATTATTAGGACTATGCAGATATTGTTCACTGCTGAGTCAAATAGTCTGTGCCGCCTCCATTTTTTTTTTCCTCCAAGTCCTGCCAGTTCTTCATTTGAAATATTTCTGAAATCTGAGCACTTCTCCTCTTCTCCAGGATAATCTCCGTTTTTCTAGCAAGCATTCTCTCTCACATAGCCAAGTGCAGTAGCTTCTTGGCTGGCCTCCCTGCTTTCACATAAAATCCTTAGTTTTTTTGTGGAATTAATTTCCTGACTTGATTCTTGTCTATTTTCTATCAGCTATTTTTCCCCAAAATGTTGTAACATTTGTCATATGCCTATCAAAAATACTTTCTGTCTACTAAAGCACATCTATTCCATTTTTTTCTGGAGATAACCTTCTTCAGCCTTCTGTCATTCTGCTCCAGTATAAACTGGTTTTTCCCTAAGCCTGCTGTATGCCGGTTTTCCTGGGATGTCCCTTTGAAGTCATCTGGGATTTCATATAACTGCTCTCTTGTGTAGAACCCTGTTATGTCCTAGATCCCATGTTTCCTTTTGTCTTGTTACGCTCCTCCATTTTACTGAAGCACGTTTTCCTGGGAAAGTATGCGTGGGTGGGAGGTTTTTAGAGATCTAGCCCGTCTGACAAATCCTCCTATTTGATAGACTATAGGATTCTAGGTTGAAATTAATTTTCACAGTTTTGAAGACATTTTTCTATTGTCTTTTCATTTATAGTGTTTCTCTTAAATCTGTCGCCATTGCATGATAAATTGTAAATAGCCAGTTCTAGTCATTTTTCCGCTATCCCTTCTCTGGAATCATTGAGTACCTTCTCTAACCCCAGGAGTTCTGAAATGTCATAATTATGTGGTTTGGTGTGGATATTTTTATTTTGTTGGGGCTGTTCAATCTGCAGTTACAACTCTTCTATTGAATTTTTATGTATGTCTTCTATATTTTCTCTGTTCCTTTTTTTTCTGATATTCCTATTATTCAAATGTTGGATGTCATAGACCAGTATTCCTGCACTGACTTCTAATTTTTTTCTCTATTTTCCATTTTGTCTTATTGTTCTACCTTCTGGAGATTTCCTTGACTTTATGTTCTAAACTTTCTGTTGAATACTTGTTCTGACTATCCCATTTTAATTTAAAGAGTTTTCTTCTATTCTGTCATTACTGTTTTCTAGCATTTGGTTCTTTTGCTGATACAAGGTTGCATCTTTCTGAGAGTGTCTAAGAATAGTTTTTGTGTTTTTTTTTTCAATGTTTTCTCTTCTGAATTTTATTGTTTCCAACCTGGGATGGATTACCCACTAAGCAAAGTATGCACAGACTTACTTATGTTTACCTACTAATCTGTAGTGCACAATTTCACCTGTTTTTCACCCCATGTGAAATTGTGCACTACAGATTAGTAAGTAAGCACAAGCCCCCGTATACCTTACTTACTGGTTAATCTGCCCTTGCTCCCGTCAATTCTTATTTCCTATTGTTTTGATCTCTCTCGTTGGAGGCTTTTCCTCAAGTGTGTGGTGGTCCCCGGCTGTCTCTTAAAATCTAATTGAAAATATCATGTGTGAACAGGCTTTGTTAACTGATGGACTTCACTTACAGGGATTTGAGGGGGGTGGCAAACCAGCTTTTCATTTGGAGATCCTTAATGTCAGTATCTGGGGGCTTTTCTCTGAGGCAATTCAGTTTCTTCAGAGAAGAATCTTCCAGTTTTCTGCCTGGGGAATACAAACACAGCTGCTTGCTTTCCAGAAGTAGATTTGGGAGAAGGAGGTGGAGTTGTACCTTTCAGTGTATTAAAAAAACAAACAAACCAAACCTGTTGCCATTGAGTTGATTCCAACTCATAGCGACCCTAAAGGACAGAGTAGAACTGCCCCATAGGGTTTCCAAGGAGCGGCTGGTGGATTTGAACTGCCAGCCTTTTGGTTAGCAGCCGTAGTAGCACTTAACCACTGTGCCACTGGG